TGTATGGTGCTCTCTTGGTAAGGATGTTTATTGGGCTTGTAATGACAGCAGAGGGCGCAATTTACTCATCTCATACATACATTTTGCATTTATAAAGTATGGTAATGTTGACAATATTATGTGGGCTATTATAGCAGCAGGGGTTGTATCAAGCATGTAATCTGGTGGACAGATGTTTCTATAGAGTATGTGCAGATTGTCTTCATTACATTCCCAAATAGTAGGGTAATTGTTTTTAAATAAGGGAGTAAACTTATTTTTGTTACTGCTGGTATATAGGGCCTTCAGCATTTACACAATAACCGGATCATTCATCGTGATGTGAAAGGGAACAACATTCTCCTGACAACAGAAGGTGGAGTCAAGCTCGTTGACTTTGGTAATGACCACTTCCCATTTGTTTTCCTGATACATGCAGTTTAGCCAAAGGCGTCTGTTTACTTTCCCCTGGGAAGGCAGAATGCCATAGTAAGAGACTTTTACAGAAGGATACTCAGAATTATTTTAAGAAGGAAAATTGAGAAGGCACCTGATACAGCAAGGATAAAAATTCTAACCAAAAATCAGTAGTAGACTTTTAACTTAAAAGCTTAAACACAGTAATTAAAAAATACTTCTGAAGGTACCATTTTATTTACAAAGCTCTTTTGCATTTCACAAGGAATGTCAGTTTCAGGGCAGTTGTCCTCCTAATTTAAATTTAGATATTCTATCTTTTGCATATGAAAAGGAAACATTCTTCTCTCTGAAATGGCTTTTGCTAGCCTTAAGCATATTTTTTTCCCTCTGAGCAGAAGGTAAAATTGTCCCTTGGGTCCAAAACCCAACATCCATTTAATTTGTGATTATTGCTCTTAGATTTGAGCACTGCATAAGAAACAGGAGAGAGAGAGACAGATAGATAGGTAGAAAGGGACTTGGCAAAAGAACTTAGCTCAGTTAAGCAATTTTTTCCCCTTTAAACATGCACTTAGAAAAACAGGAAAATGCTCAAATATGTATGCAATGGAACGGACAATTTTATTAAAAGTAACGGAAACAGATTATTAGTGATATGCTGTATTAATAAAATAATATAATGCATAAGGTAATCATAATTGAGAAAAGTGTTGTGTGAATAACAGATGCTTGTTTAGCAGTGCATGAAGGTAATGAAAAACGTTCACAAAATGAGAGTAGTATAAAATGACGTGCCAAAAAATTCTGCAAATAGTAATACTGAAAAAATCCAAAAATATTAAAATTATGCAATGGAAAGAAAATGTAATACTGATGTTTTCATGGTATTATAAATTTAACATAGAAATCTATTGATGCTAAAGTAAGTTGTGAATAGTATCTTCTAGGGACAGAAATTCATTATGTTGAATGGTAAAGGCAACTATTAAAATAGTGCTGGGAGAAACATATGGCCTGAAGCAAAACTTGGAGTGAGTCCCTGACCTAGTACAAGGGAGGAAGATCCCTTCTCATTTGGGGGAATTTTGGCAGCATGGTCTTTGTAACTACTCGATTCTGGGAAAAGTTGGCTTTTCTCCCCAAAGCAAAATGTTTTTATCAGATGTATCAAAGGCCTTAGCTGCAGCAGAAGCTCAGCGTGGAGCTATAGCTTCCAAAAGCAGATCAGTGTGCTGCAACTCCAAGTGGCACACTCAAGGAAACTGAGAATCCCAACCTTTCTGGTGTCCCATGGGTGTCTGATTAGACATTTAGGATTTAGGGTGGGGTTTTTTTCTCTCTTTTTAAGTTACAACAGTAACACCAGCGAATTACAACAAATATGACTACCTCAGAAAAAGTAATGAGTTAAATCTCGAGTGTTTTCTAACACTTCACGGTTAGGAAATGCCAAGGACTGACTAAAGAAGCATCAGGCACCAAGCTTTCATTAAATTGCTATTTTTATTCTCTAGCCCACTGCTGTAGTCACAGAAGGGACTCTGGGAATGAATTGGGACTGAGTCACAGGTGATACTGTTCGTAGAATTGTTTGTCTCATTTGTGGCAGAGTGTGGAAGGTATATAGTGAAAAAATGCAAGTTCTTCAGGAAGAGAAGGGACTCGCAGTTCAGACAGTTGAATGGCATCAAATTGGAGACTATTCTTGCTTCTGCCAGCGTTTCTCTGTGGTATTGGCAGGTCGTTTGCATCAAACTTTCTAGAAGTGGCCCCTTGGTTCCTCATTTTCCCAATAGCCAGTTTGAAACATCTAGTTTTCCTTTGCAGAAGAGCCAAGTGTTCTTGAACTGCAGCTGAGATCTATTACAGCTCTACTTGAGGCATGTGGAGTACCTTAAAACTGAAAGATCTTAGATTAAGTACTCAAAACCAGTGGATGCTTTGGATATTTTTAGGTTAATCCCTGGAATTGATAATCCTCTCCTATTTTACAGGAATGTTAAGGAGATTTATAGTTTGATGAGGAGGGAAGGAAACATGTCAAAAGGAAAAGAAAATACTCATTTTGAATTTAGTATAGGATTGGATATACTAAATAAGTAACTAGAACTCAAATCAATGTGGATTAAAAAAAATTAGATGACTACCTATTCAGTGAATGCTATCCATTCTGTCCATAGAATGAGACAGAATCTTGAAGAAAAAAAAAATTACTTCATATTCAAGGCTGTATGTATGGATATTAGGTCACAGAGAAGATTACACAGATACCCTTAATTAAGGCTTTTTTTTTTCCTTTATTACATGACTTTAAAACTTGCTTTTTCAATGTAACGCACATTTCTTCCCTCAGCTGCTCTCGACAGCATGATATATTTGAATAAATGTTGGTCACAGTGTAAGTCAACCCAAAATGTCTGCAATTTATCATTCATTTATGCTCATGCTTGCTCACTCTCTCCGGCTGTCTCCCTCTCTCAGCTCTTTGGTATTCTGCACTGTTTTGGAGTGTCCATAGATAGCAGCTACAAATTAAGCTAGCGGAGGAGAGATCAGAGTTAAATGCACAGAGTCTCACTGTAGGTCCTAGCCATTAACTGTTTCACAGCGGTACTCAGGAAATCACTGAAGGCTTGCAATCACACTGAAAAATGAAAAATAAATACAGAATTGAATCTTGGAGCCAGCAATTGAATTATTTAACTTACAAATTATGAGTCCCAATTTCTTATTTATTGGCATCAGGCAATGTGTATTATATGTGTCTCTACCCATTTTTGTCTCTGGGTAATGCCATAGGAGCAGACCACTGTGGTTTTTGTTTTTAAACAATGTTAAGGTGAAACACGTTTTTAAGTCAAGACTGGTTTTGTGTCAACTTACTGGAATGCTTCTGAACTCTACAATTCAATTATATGTTGACCAGACCACAAAAGAAGATTGGCTGTGAAAGTTCATTCTGATTTGCTAATGTTGCTTGATGTTACTCTAGTTCTTTCTTCTTTTTTTCAGCTATGCTTCATTAGTCCAGCTCCAGTCAGCAAAAGGCAAAAGCAAAAGCCTTTGCTTTAAGCTTGTGCTTAACTCCTGAAGTACAAGCTGCAGTGTGAGCATGAGCTTCTGTGCTTTATGCAAATACTCTAGTGAACAAGTTTCCTGCCAGCGGTGTTCAAGGAGTAAATTTCTGAAACAAAACTTTTAAAGTAAAGTTGTAATTTGAATAGTTCCTGTTTATACTCATGAAAACAGCAGAAAGAAGTCTGGGATATTTAGGTGCTGACTGAATTTTTGAGTTTGAATGAAAGTGCTTCAAACTGAGAGTCATTCATAAAAAGTCTCTCCGCAATTCTGAACAAAACCTGCAAGCTGAAATTAATCGAACAAAGAATTCAGTACAAATGCTGCACCTACTTTGGCCAGGCGTTCTGCAGCTGTACTCCCAGGCTTGGGGTTTGTTTTCCAGATACTTGGAATAAAATAACTGAAATGACAGAAAGAATTTGAAGCCAAGTTTTTTGGATTTGTTTTATTGCAGGTGTTTCAGCCCAGCTCACCAGCACGCGGCTGCGTAGAAACACCTCAGTGGGAACACCCTTTTGGATGGCACCTGAGGTAGGCAAACATTCCTGTCTGGGTTGTCGCCATTAATTGCAATGCACATTTTGTTGCCACTTTGACACAGTAGGAGAAAATGCTATCTTTTCTTCCTTCCCCTTTGGCTGTATTTCTACTTTACAGCTAGGCCACTGTTCAGTATATGACTGTACTATTAGAATATACAAAATGGATTTCTAATAATCTTCGTTATTTTCTTCTCTGTAATGTTTCCATAAAAGTACAGATAATTTGCAAATAACTGAGGGTGTCCTTGAAAGTTTTATGACTTTCCAGTTGATAACTATGTTTTGCTGTGCTTGTCTGTGCTTCTAAATACAGACTGGGAGGAGATGGAGGAATTGCCACGTTCCTGTCTTGCTATAGGACTCTGCAAAACCCTGACTCATCTGTGTGTTCTTTAATCTTAATCATTGACTGGGGATCTACACACTTAGACACGTGGACTGGCATAGATTAAAAATGGAGAAAAATAATCTACAGGTGGCCTAGCCAAGTATCTTAGACCATATTTTTACATCCTACTCCCCAGACATAACCCTTGTATTTCATGAAGCTCTAGAAAGTTTTAACACACTGTTGAACAGAAGTCCCTTATATATTTTCCCTAAATTTGGGGTGAAAGATGTTAGTCTTTGCCCTCCGCACTTTAAGAAACAAAAAATACTTCTGTAAGGTATAGATTATGGATTTAGGAATTAAAAGGGAGTGGTCTGTTTATTTGTAAGTTGTTAAACGTTCGTAACAGTAGTAGCCTGATTTCTGTTGAAGGCCATTAGACTTACTTGAATTTTCGGGAATTTGGGATGGAATTTGCATTTCTTACAGATGCACACAGGTCTATTTCTGTATGTCAAACGGTTAAAAGTATCATGCAAACATTCATTTTAAAACACTTTACACTTTTTATACATCTATTTCTGTTGCTAAGGCTGATGATAGCTGAGCAGAGAAAAGAAGCTGCTGTAACGGATCCAAAATTGATCTTGCACAGTCTCACAAAGAATGGTTGATATTTTACCATCTCCATAACAACCAGTTTACGTCACAAAGGAGACACAAGATACCTTAGAAACCACCGTGCAAGCATTATTTATGGAATCACCTTGGTTGGAGACCTTCTGAAGCCTTTATAAAATACTCCTCTAGCAATAATGGTCATATTATGAAATATGTTATTGAACTCAGATTATTAGAAGTTATTTTTACAGTACTGTCTTGCTTTAATAATTGCCATCAAAGGCAGTAATCATACCAAATTTATTTTCCCATCCTGCTTGAAAATATTCATTCGCAAGGTAAAAAGCCAAAGAAAGAAGCAGAGATTTGATCTGAAAATAAAACACACATGTAACCAAGGAATATTATATGCATAGCACATCAAAACAGGAACAGAAGTAGCTTTGAATGCTTCTTGTTTTGAAAAGATTTGTCAAAATAACCAACCCAGTACCATAAGCATAGTAACTCATATCACATTTGCATGCCTGTGTGAGCCACACCGATCGGGCTTCATAGACGCACCAATCTGCAAAACAGCTGTAAGATGCTCAGATATCCATTATGCTGTTGTTGAAATAGCTTTTAAATGACAAATTGCATAACACTCGTGCTCAAGTCACTACAGTTGCTTTCTTTGTGTTCATATGAATGACATATTTCAACCGATGTGCGAGGTGCAATTTACCTTACATCTGGGGATATCTTCCTGGTATTTTTAAAATGTGCAGCCAAATTTTTATGTGAAAGATGAAAGATGAGGACTGCAATGAGCTGAAAAGCTCTGCTTGGGTAACAGCTTATTAGGAACAGTGTTTTCTAGATGAGACTGTGGTGAGATCAGTAAAAACTAGAAAAGCACTTAACAGTTGCAAAAATCTTGCTGCCTAAAGGTTTTGATATAGCATAGAATCTATGTGAAAACCAAAAATATCATAAAATAACTGGACAGGAAGGAAATGTTACTAATCAGAGAAGTAGAAAGCACGAAAACTAGGATTTTTTAAATTTTTTTAAATTGGACTTTTACTATCTGTGTGAGAAACATAGGAGCCTCAGTCAACACATAAAGCAATCATGGGACCTCATCTTATCTAAGGGTGAGAAAGATGGATTTAATCTGAAGGGGGAGTGGAGAGGGGAGATGAAAATGCCTGCCTTGGAGGAAGAGACTACAAGAGTGTTTCAGAGAAATGAACCTTGTGAAATGAAGCTGACAGGGAATATTTTCCAGGGTAAACCCCAGGAAAGTAAAACCTGGAGAAGAATGATGCAAGATTATTAAAGTTGACAGATAGGAATAAATGGATACAGGCAGGAGACAAATATGCTGGAAACATGAATCACTAGATCAGCCTGGATCCGGAACAGTCTGCATAATGAGGAAAACCATCATGTTTTAAGATGAGGTTTGCAAAATGTATCAAGGGGATTATATGGCATGATACTTGCAATAGCAAAAGTTCGTAGGAAAATAGCAGTGACTGAGGGTGGCGTAAGGTGTTCTGTTCAGCTCAGTGTTCTTACTGGCAGCACAAAACCCAGCAGCTTAACAGTTTTGAGTGATTTGAACATCTTAGAGGGCTCTTTTTTTCTGATGATTGTGTGGCTTGTTTAGCAGCAACAGGACAAATTGTCCTTGAGAATTTGTTTTGAGCAGAACATGTGATTAACAAAAATTTTGATGAAATGTGAAAATACAGGGAAAAACTGGTTGTGTGGAAGCAACAGAGGAACTTGGCAAGGATAAGTCGGTTTGAGAGCAGCTTTAAAGTAGACTCACTGAAAATCAATCACTGCTGTTTAACCTAATTAGTATTGTCTCACACTTACAAATGTAGACATGCAGAAACTGGAATGCTGAATACAGGCATTCCAAAAAAAGATAAATAAGGCAGGACAGTGTAAGTAAGGTGGATGTTTAAAGCTGCATGTTGCCAAACACTTAAGTTACCTAAAATCTGCTTCTATTATGCTGAAATAAATTGTGTTAAATGATAGCAGGAGAAATCAGATTTGAAACTTTTGAATTGAACTGCCTTTATATCTCTAGTTCTAAACCTTAATGCATCTTGGTTTCAACCTCCAGTGCAGAACTGGGCAAAATCTAGTTCAAATAGAATTGCAGTTTTCCCTTTTCCCAAATATAATTATATTATCATGATCTAGCTGGAAACTTGACTCTTGAAAAAAGCTTGGTTAGAATCTGTACATGTTTTCTTTGGCCCAAATCTAGTTTTAAGAAGAGAAAATAGAAAAAGAAAAAGATACTTGATGTCAGAAAGAGCTGGAGAGATGCTGAAGGTAATTTAAAACCCCAGGGAGTATGCAGTTATATTTTACTGATAACTGCTAAAAAATTAAAATGGTGCATGCATACTTAGTTTTGAAAGGAACACAATTAAAACATAGTTGATCCTTTGAAGAATTATGTGTTGAAATCTGACGCGTGACAGTAGGAAAGGCTGAGACTTCGGTAAAGGTATCATATGAGTTCTGTAATAATGAGTTAACCAGAGGTAAAATCTTGGCTCTGTTTTGCTATTGATTTCAGCGGGATTTCAGATGTCACAGTATTATTTAAAGCCGTGTCGACTGTATTTTGGATATTTGTTACCGTCCTGCCAAGATGAAGTAATGATCAGTAAGACTGCCCCAGAGACAACAGATTGTTTTCCTTCCCCCTGCTGAATTAAGGCATATTTCCTGGGATGAAATTCAGTACATGTGAGCATCAGAATAAATTTCTGAAGTGTTAGAAGAATAGGTAACTAGTTTAAATAGTCTTTGTTTTTCCAATGTTTCTTGAACTTTAAATCTGATCACATGCCTATGCAATGAGTCTAATCCTGAAACTATGAATAGTATTTGCAGTACAAAGCTGTGTCTCTGCATAATCTAAAGAAAAATAAACCAAACTGGTAAAAAAAGCACCCCAAAAAGTCATTTGCATTAATGTAGTTGAAAAATATAAAAAGGGAAAAATCTAAATTTGCAGAGACTTTCAGCAGCTTTTCCACTGAAGTCAGTATTCATTACATTAGTTTCAGGCCTTAGAATTTGGTCAGAAAGCCATCTTCCTTTTGGTAGATCAGGGCTGATTTCTTCTATTTCTGTGTGTATATTATAGGAGACATGAAAAATTTACAAAAATATCCATTTAATGGTAAATACGCTTCATGTGTAGTTAAATAGTGAGTTGGAAAAACAGCGTAGAAAAGATAACCCCATCACTAACCTGGGTTTTTTTTAATTAACTCTAAACAAATACAGTAATACATTCCCCTGAAACTATTGAATATATTCTTATTTTGTCACACTTCAACCTAGCTTATTTGCCAGCACTTTGCTTACATCATGGGACTCAAGGTCAGCATCCTGTTAATAGCTCTAGATCTCTTCACTTTAATTCATTATTAGCTAAAATTAGCTCTTCTGACATGCACATTTTCACTATGCTTTTAAACACCAACTAAGCATGGAATTTTGTAAATGCTGATTTATAATGAACTGTAGGAATCCACTGCTTAGTATACATAGGATATAGATTTCAAGAACATATGGACACTTACTTTTCTGCCTGAAAGCCATTTAAAAACAGTTGTATGGTGAAACAGTGTGCATATTTTGTGATAAAGAAACATAAGGAACTATGTATCTTCTCTAATAAGGAAAATTTTGAAAATATTTCCTTATAACATCTTCCATGAAGGCGTAATAACTATTCTCTTACAGCTAATGATAAAATAGATTACTGAATTAACTGTTACTACAGGGGTTTTTCTACCTTGTGAACTACAGTAGTTGAAATAAGATTGAAAACATAATTTGCAAAAAATAATTGATTGTCTTTAGCAAGAAACTTCACAGATGAGAATAGAGAAAACTTTTGCTACTTTTACAGAATTTGTGTTTATCTGGCATCGTGATTAATTAATAGTGAAATATTTGAAAATTCCACACATTTAGTGGATAGAAATAATAAATGCGTTAAATGG